TTTAGGGTTTAGGGTTTAGGATTTAGGGTTTGGGGTTTAGGATTTAGGGTTTAGGGTTTAGGTTTTAGGGTTTGGGGTTTTGGCTTCAGGGTTTGGGGTTTAGGGTTTGGGGTTTGGGGGTTAGGGGTTTGGGGGTTCAGGGGTTTAGGGTTTCAATCCAGGGAACCAGATCATAGCCCTCGTCAGTCAGAACTTCCCCTTCCTTGATGTCTGCGTGAAGCCGGTACCTTCCGGAGCACTGCGCGCCCTAAATCTCTGCACAATCCTGTGGAGTCACCCCGTAATGCAGCAATATAAAGCCTGATGATACGAAATGAAACTTAGCGAGACTACGAAATCGCGATATTATATATCAAAACGCTATGAGAATGACTTCCACAAGTTTGCAACGCAATACAGCATAATCGATGCAGAATGGAGCCGCATCGAAATTTCGGTATGCAGAAACCCACAGAACCTGGAACCTTCAAAACCTGAAAACCAAAAACCCTGAACCCTTAAACCCTGAACCCCAGAACCCATCTGGGGCCTCCCGTCGTGGGCTTCCACCTTGCGGACGGTGGCTCTGTGCAGCGTAGCACGAGAAGACTCCATCATCTTCGTGGCCAGCATCTGGTCGGGAAGTGTAGGCTTGTCTAGAGTTTAGGGTTTAGGGTTTAGGGGTTTAGGGTTTAGGGGTAGAGTTGATGGAGAGGTAGGGGCTGATTACTAAGGTGTGGGGACCCGTGTTGATAGTAATTCTTGCTACTAGTGCCATTGCTAACCCCACACCACTAAGAAACTAACCCTCACCCTGTAAACCCTACTTAAAGGATCATGGGACTTAGTAAGTAGGGTTATAATTAAAGTAACTGCACTTATATTTACTTATAACCCCCAATTAGGGGGCTTATAACCTTACATACTAAGTCCCATGATCCTTCAAGTACACAACCCTAAACCCCCAAACCCTAAACCCTAAACCCTAACCCTAAACCCCTAAACCCCTAAACCCTAAACCCTAAACCCTAAACACCGCGGACCTGGTTGCCGCCCTCTACGGCCCAAAGAGGTCCCTGCGAGCCGCACAGCGCCACAGCCCCGACGAAGGCGCCAATGCTGAGGCCTTGGCCGTAGTTCACGCGAACCATGCCGCTCGCCAGCCTAGTTTCGGGTTTAGGGTTTTAGGCATTAGGGTTTTAGGTTTTTTTTTGGTTTTAGTGTTTCAGGAGTTTATTAGGGGTTTTAGGGTTTAGGGTTTTAGAGTTTAGGGTTGTAGGGTTTAGTGTTTAGGAGGGAGAGAACCCGAGAAACACTTTCTTAACCCTTAACCCCAACCTCGAAACCAAACCCAAAGCCCTAAGCACTATACACCCTAACCCTAAACCCTAAACCCTAAACCCTAAACCCTAAACCCTAAACCCTAAACCCTAAACCCTAAACCCTAAGCCCACCTTCCTCCTAAACCGTAGACTAGCGCCTGCTTGAACCCTAAAAAACCTACCCCTTTAGGGCTTCTTGCTATAGTTTCTTGTATTACTTGTCCTTAAGCAAATAGGCGGTTTAGGGTTTAGGGTTTAGGGTTTAGGGGTTGGCAAATAGGCATTCGGGAGCTAAGGTCAACCTTCAACCGGAATTCCCCAAGCAGCTTGAGATTTGGGCATCAAAACATGGAATCTTCCCTGGTCGTCATTGCTGCTCGGGTTTAGGGACGACCGTAAGGACCAAATGACCCTTGAAAGTAGGGACCCTACACCGTTGTACTATGAATCCCTGTAGTGGTATATGAACCTTATTAAACCATTTCAGGGTTCATTGCGTCTTTAAGGAAACGGCCCAAAATGCGTAGACTTTTTGGAGTGGAGGTTTTCGGAGTTCAACAGCAGTGTTTAGGGGTTTCGGTGGGGTTTGGGGCTTTGAAGACCCTGAACCACAAGCCTTTATAAGCTCTAATTCCAGTAACTAAACCCTACTCCGCAAGCCCGAAACCGTGAACCATAAGCCCTAAACTAAACCCTAAACCCTAAACCCTAAACTCTGAACTCTCCAGGTGGAGTGGCTCTTGGATCATCGTCTCGTTGAAGCCGTCACGGCGTAGCCGGTCCTAAACCCTACACCCGAAAGCAAATCCCAGAACCCCAAGCGCTTCACGCCTAAACCCTAAACCCTAAAACCCTAAACCCTGAAAGCCCTAAACCCCTAAACCCTAACAAACCCTAAACACCTAAACCCTCAAAAACCCTGAACCTTAAAAAACCTTAAACCCTACAGAAACCCTAAACACTCAAAGCCTAAACTCTGAAGTCTAAATAGGCCCTAAACCCTAAACCCTAAACCCTAAACCCTGAAGCCCTAAACCCTAAACCCTAAGCCCTAAACCCTAAAATGCCCAAGCGTTCCTCCAGGGTCTCGTCGAGCATCGGAGAAAAGCGATGGTCCAAGGCAGCCAGAAGACGCCTGGGAGTGCCTTGGGTTTAGGGTTTAGGGTTTAGGGTTTAGGGTTTAGGGGTTTAGGGGTTTAGGGTTTAGGGTTTGGGGGTTTAGGGTTTAGGGCTTAGATTCCTTCAAAGCGTCTGCGTAAGAATTCCGTAAAAATTCTCTATAGGGTGTTGTGGTTTAGAGTTGAGAGCTCCTTTGCTGGGATCTTGTTTTGGGTTTAGGGTTTAGGGTTTAGGGTTTAGGGTAATTGTAAGGTTT